GGCGCAACACTGAGGGTTGCGATCCGTTGCCGGTCACGAAAAAAGACAAAAAAAAAAAAGATCATTGTGACTCTGGTGTCGGAACAGCTTCTGGGGAGACACTATAAAGAAGGGAGAGAGGCCGGCTGAGACCAGGGCACAAAGGGGGCCTGGTCTGGGGGATTCTGTAACATGTGACTAGTGGAAACACAACCACACATATCCAGTGGGTTCGTTTGCTGCCTCGTAGCCAGGCAGTTTATAAATAAATAAAATCTAAATGCACCATTTGGATACTAGAACAGTAAGAAAGAGTACCCTTCTAGTCACCAACCTATGAGAATTTTGGTGAATTTCCCTTCAGTATTTCCCTACAGCACATTTGTATCATAACTGTGATCACCCTGTACATCTTCTTTTGTCCTGCTTTCCACTGAAAGCACTTCCCAGGTCTCACTTCCATCGTGACTGTTTTAATCTGGTAGATGTTGCATAGTTTACTTGTCTATTCCTATTCTTACATATTTGGACTGTTTTAATTGTATTGCGTTTATAATTCCTCTGTGATGAACATCCTCTTCCATATAGTTCTTTCTAAAGTTAGGTCAGAGGCTATGAACACGTTTTTATGACTCTTGATACAGATAGATGCACATCTATTCTGTGGGCCCATCAGGTGTCCCAGCTAATTAACCTGGCCTCACAGTGACCACGGTACAAGGAAGACACATTCCTACTACTGTATGATTTCTCTGTTATTCAGGGATCGTCTTCTGTGACTCGGTGCAATGTCCAGGCTCATCGGTGTGTCTTTTAACGGCCCATCATTGATTTCCTTTATGCAGAGTGAGGGGCTCCAAGCAGATGAATACACTCCAGTGTGCTCGTCATGTGTACCAGACAGAAGGCATTCGCGGCTTCTATAGAGGATTAACTGCCTCGTATGCTGGGATTTCAGAAACTATAATCTGTTTTGCTATTTATGAAAGTTTAAAGAAGTATCTGAAAGGAGCTCCATTAGCCTCTTCTGCAAACGGGACTGAGAAAAATTCTACAAATTTTCTTGGACTTATGGCAGCTGCTGCTGTTTCTAAGGGATGTGCCTCCTGTATTGCTTATCCACATGGTATGTTTTGCTTTTTTCTCCCAGAGCAGTAAAACAGCTGTCAGATTTGTCATTTGTCGGTACGTCTAGACCTCTATAGCACAAATTGAAACACAAATACCCACAGGGCAGGTAAATGGACATGAATGAAGCTGGCTCTAATGCATGGGCACGTGTGCATGGTGAGAGCACTCCCTCACTCAGCTCAGCTGATTGTGGCCAAAGCTTGCTGTGCAGAATGTGGGCACTGCGTTGCTGAACTTCTGATGTTTTCTAAGACGCCAAAAATCTGGATTTTATTTAAAATTCCTTGATTCTAAAATATTATGTGGGAGCCAAACTTAAAAATCACTCAGCTTCCATTTGAATGGGGTGCTGAGTAACGCTACTTTGGGTAAGTTTACTTTTTATAGAACTATGGAATAACTGTCTTACTAGCCTACTTTTTTAAAAAGCTTATTGTGCCATGAAAAATAGGTTTTGTTTTCAAAAGCCTACTGCATCGTCAGCTATGACAAACGCAGCCGAACACCAAAGGGCTTATGGAGAAGAGGCTGGCAATGCCCCGGGGTCTGAGATCTGTGTGACAGGCAGGAGTGACTAGTGCGGGATGTGGGTGCCTGAGAGGGAGGGCCAGAGGGAGGGCCAGATGGACAAAGGTTTGAAAAAGGAGAAGGTGGCTTTTAAGCTGGACAGAATGGAGAAAGGGTCCTAGGGAGAGGAGAAAGTTGGGGGGTACAAGAAAAGAATATGCCGAACATAATGCCATACTTAATACAAATTACACCTTCAGTGAAATTACAGGGTTTGCTTAATTGGGAGTGGAAAACCAGGAATTATTTTATAATTAAGTCCCATTTAAACTAAGCTTTTTTTAATCCCTTAAAAGTTACTTTGTACTTTTGTGTATGGATACGTGTCTGTAATTGACTAATTCCTAGAGTGGGAAAATGTTCTAAAAAGAATGTAACTTTTCAGTGTTCTCTGTGTATGTGACTGTCATGTCCAAATACAGCTGAAATGGCAAGTAGAAGGTTGTACATTGACAGTTATAAAGCACTGTCTGTGAATTTTTTTCTCCATATTTATTTCTTTATTTCTCTCTGCAGAAGTCATAAGGACTCGGCTCCGGGAGGAGGGCACCAAATACAAGTCTTTCATCCAGACGGCGCGCCTGGTGTTCCGGGAGGAAGGCTACCTCGCCTTTTACAGAGGACTCTTTGCACAGCTCATCCGGCAGATCCCAAATACTGCCATTGTGTTATCCACCTATGAGTTAATTGTGTACCTGTTAGAAGACCATACTCAGTAACAGGCCAGAAAATTGTGCTCTAGAAGAATAAAACTGAAAAACTCTATAGAGAATTTTTTTTTTCCATTGATGTTTAGAATGTTTGAGACTGAAACAGGGAGGGCCATAAAATATCTGGCTCATATCTGTTGGACATTTCCTTTTGGATTCATGCTTTCTGGAAGGTTCAAATTCATTAACGTTAATAGTTAATTATAACCTTTTTTTTTTTTTTAACTTAAGAGGATTCAAGATAAAGCAGCAACTAAATTAAATCATGCTATTTAAGTATACATTTGGTTTGTGTCCTCTTTATACTTTACTGCAGCTAAGGACTTCATTATTTCAGTGAAATATGCCCCATAAATATAGAGAAAAACAAAGTCGAAGGACAACTTGTTTTCTAATCTGACTTTAAGATCTCACACTGCTGGGCAGGGAAGGAGTGTCACATTTTGGTGGTGCCATGTGGACCAGGACAAACTTCCTATTTTTCTCCTTTACACATTTCTAGTTCATAATAGATTGATAATCTAAGTTTTCAGACTGCCAAGATGAAAAAAATAAATACGTTTCTGAAACTAAGTATTTTAAGCTATAAACATTTTTCTGAAGTTATCCTCTTCCTCTCCCGTTTGAACCAAAGGCAAGAGTTTTAAAG